GAGACTGACTTAAGAGGGGCAACCCTGGCCTTTGCGAACAGAATACTGCTATGACTTCTTCCTCCTGGCCGAGACGAGCAACCGTAGGTCACCACTCCGTATCCCACCTCCGACGCGTCCGAAAAAACGTGTAACTCATTTTGCTCCCCTTTGTTTATTTCTGTGTATTCCTGGTATGGGACGAGGGAATCGTATATCGCCTAGCTTGTAAAGGCTCAGCCACCAGCTTTGCTAGGTCTTGTGATTCCCTTCGCATAGGGTCTCATCTCAAGTAAACTTTTTTCTACACAGGTCCTGCAGCAGAATCTTGCCCGGCAGTAGCTACGGCGCGACGAACCCCATTGGATCGTAAAGGCTGGCCAACGAAGACAGAATTCCTCTGCGAGTCACCGTCTTCTCAGGTAACTGGAGTTGGAACAAAAACTCGTCTTTCTTCGAATCCCATTACATACCAAGTGCTCTGTCTGTTGGTAACGGACTCTCATGCAGTTCACGGAGACTCGGTGCCCGCTCATCATTGATTACATGACGATTGTTAGACATCCACCTGGTCAACTTGAACCTTCCCATGGGCAGTAGCTTGGATAAATTCCTAATGTATCGAACTGCTTCCTCGATGCTATCAAAGGATCCAAGGAAGTCGTCCACATAAAAATTGTGTTCAACACAGGAGCCCACGGGGGTTTCGAAACGCTGAGTAAATTTGTTCACGGTCGTTTTTAACGCGAAGTTTGCACAGAAGGGAGAAGATATCGCGCCAAACGGGTGCACCGTCATCCGATATTCCTGGACAGGTCCGTCTAGGTCTCCATCCGGCCACCACCACAACGGTAGCGCATCCCTTTGCCCTTCGGTGACTTTAACCTGCGTGAACATCTCCTCGATATCAGCCGCTACCGCAACTGACTCCAGACGAAATCTGCACAGCACCTCAATCAGCGGAGTCGTCAAATCTGGGCCTTGTAGTAGACGGTCATTTAGGGCAATCCCGGCACACTTGGCAGCACAATCGAAGACAACCCGGATCTTCTGAGGTTTCTTGGGGTTTATGACAGGGTGGTACGGAAGGTACCACAATGGTTGCTCCTTTTCGACTTCTCCAATTGCGCGTTCGATATATCCCAACTCTAGATTGCGTTTCATGGCGTTAAAGTAGGCCTCCGTTAATTGTGTATTCCGCTTTAATCGACCCTTCAGGTAATTGAGCCCATGGAGTGCTATTTCTCGATTGTCTGGCATTCGGTTGGATCCCGTTCGCCCGATAACGGCATCTGAAACCAGGTTCCGTTGTGTCGTGTCGTTTTGGTGACGACAGCCAGGGCTGCTTGGTCTTCCCTCGAC